TCGGAATTTCCAAATTGCCGAAGCTCTCGTCTAAGTAAAATACAGAATTTTATACAGTGAAAACACTTCATTTCTAACGATGAATTCACTTCATTTTCAGCAATGAAATCACTTCATTTCTAACAATGAAATCACTTCATTTTCAGCAATGAAATCACTTCATTTCTAACGATGAGATCGCCATACAATCCAACGACATCAAGAAATCCATCAAGCGCAAAATATTCGAAGAATGGCAAAAAGAATGGCCTACCACAGACTCCACGAAACCACACAAAATAACAGTGCATCGACCCAGTTTCCTATCCATGTTACCAGATAATAGAGGACCAACTATTTAGATTGACAACCGGACATACAAGACTGACACACGAATTCCCCCAACAAAATTAAACTCCACGTCAATGCGAATTCTGCAATCTGCCACTCGACAGTTCGACACGTTACTTTAAAGTGCACGAAATTAGACGAGCCACGTAACAGATATAAAATCACCCGAAATCTCAACGAAATATACAAAAGACGATACAAAACAGAGGGAACCTTGTGAAATTCATTATGTATAGGTACGTATATGTGATGAAATCCAAACGTGAAATATCGCGCGCCAAAAATTTTCTTTCACCGCATTCAATAGAATTCAAATCTGTGCAAACGAACAGCTAATTAGACTGGCACGAAGATGTTATGACGTAACTTCGGACGATTCGGACGGTAATTAATTATGAACAGTAGAAAAGTGTTCTCCCAATTTGTTTAACTAATTATAAGTAACGAATTTGTCAATTTGTATCTTTCGTTGTATTTATATAGAAGAAAATGTTTCGTTCATACACAATGGCAATATTATTCGCGTGACAAAAGAAAGATTTTCGTGTGACAGGAATACCTAGTCTTCGCTAATGAGCACGCTGCCATGCCGATTCGACGTTAAAGAATGAAAGAAGAGGAAGAAATTCCATAGAATCTTCATCTTCGTTGCGGAACAAAGAGATTACGTTGAAAAGTAGGAACGTGAAAATACAAGAGAAAGACTACAGAATTATTTTCTGATTGAAATGCCTCGATTTTCGTTCAAGTTAAAACATCAAAGTACTCGTAGCTCAACCGACGTATAATGACGCCGAGTTTTATTCGCACGAATGTATTCTCTCTGTGCTTTTGAACGGAGACGAATGACACGTATAATTTTCACGATCTTTTCGATCCCGTGGGTTCAAATAGAATTTCGTTGGAGAAGTTGGCGGTGTGTAATTCATTTCGCATTAACAGAACGGTCGACCGAGTGCCAGAGATTTATATGTAGTTCATTTCGGCGTAGCGCTGCAGCCGCGGTCGTCCCGAGACCTTTTGTAAACCGGAACCGGACGGAGAGGGAAAAAATGTCTGCGTCGTTATTTAAATGTCCAATATTTAACCAGCGAGCCCGCTGCGCTAAACACACAAGCAACGTTTTATTAATACATTAACGCGCGGTCCGATGAACTTCATTCGACAAAGAGTTTGGCCAAGCCGTTAAAAATCCGTGGATCCTGCGATAACAGAAATGTTCGCGGCAGTTAAATGGCAGCGGAATTGTGTATAAAAGAGGCATCAACTGTGAAACTACTGAGCTGACGAAATAACTGGTACCTAATTCCGTGGGAACACTTCAAAATTTGATTTTCGCGATTTCACTAACTGCCGAGTAAAAGATTTTAAATCTCTCGCTTCCGTAGCGTCGACTGTTTTCAGTTTAAAGGGGGGCTAATCGTTTGGCATTTTCTCTCAACAAGTTATTTCTCTACGTTATTTCGTGCAATGTAATTTTCATATAACACAAATCATACGTGGAAAAGCTGACAGTCTACACTACATGCAAACCACTTTTCTTTCCATGAAAATTTACTCTACGCGTGATCAATTAATTTTCATAACCCTTTCTCGATAAAAAATTTCCCGTTAATCAATTACATAGCAAGAACGCGGTCTTTCGCTTTAAGAAACATGACTTGATATCATATTCTATGTGATAGAATGGGATTAGAAAGCACCGGATAAGGTTATAACATACAGAACGATTAAGTTTTAATAATATAAAATACAGTGTGTAGAAACATACATGATCACAATGATACTCAAATAGCGAATGACAGGAATAAGTCATTTCAATATCAGTATCTATGAAGATACAGATTTTCGTATAGCACAGCTTCGAAAAATTCGATAAAATCCGAAACACGCTATCGTGTCGTTTCGAGTCCGAGTCCGGTCCAGTCACGGTTCGGTCACGGTCCGGTCACGATCCGGTCACGGTCCGGTCACGGTCCGGTCACGGTCCGGTCACGGTCCGGTCACGATCCGGTCACGGTCCGGTCACGATCCGGTCACAGTCCGGTCTCGGGCCGTGCCAGTATCATGACGTTCTCGGCGCGACCAAATACATGTAGTAAACACATAAAAATGTGGTGGCGAATGCATTGACGGATGATTACAGCTTAAGACAAAAAGGTGACCAACAAATTACAGCGCCGGTCTCAAAAAACAGTTTCACCAAACTGGCCCAACTATCTGCACGCCGAAGGGTTTATTGTACGATCCGATGGTCGTTACGTAAAATACGTACGGACCGAAACGTATTTTAGTCTACACGTAAATGAATCATACAATGAAATTCATATTTTATTCATATCTGTCAAATGAATATCACAATAAAATAAAACTATGTATCTAATATAAACAAGTAAACAATGTACAAAAATGTTATATTCCACAAACTTTGTATTTGGCGTCAGCTGTAAAAATAATCGGTCGTCCTACGTCGTCGTATCAGTCCCGCTTCGTTTCGATAAAATATTCTTTGGATTAGATCGAAGCCGGACCATGAAACGGGCATAGAACGTGAACAGTATGCGTAGTGTAAACACTCTGATACAAATCAATGAAAAAATATTTGACCGGACGAGAGCGCGGTTTGCAGATTCTATTAGTGTAATAGAAAGAAATTGACATTTGAGCATCATCCTCGAATGGTCAATAACAGAAAATTTGAAATTCTGATTTCTATCGATCCGAAAAATTGAATCAATTTTATTGAGTATTAGAGACCCGTAAAATCACGGTCATTCTCCGAAAGATCGAGTCACGCCTACGATCCACGCTGTAATTCATGGTGTAACGACCACGGAAAATCTTCGGGCTGGGCGGGTGAGGGTTGACAGGAGCTCGAGAATTTATCGTCATCGCTAAAAAATCCGCCGTCCCGTTTTTACAACGGCGAACGTTCCAATTATATTTTCGCTCGGCAGGCGGTCCACGAGGTGTGCCGTAAAATTTCATGGCCTCCCGGCAATGGAATCGATCATTCTAATTACTTGACGCACGTAGGACGATGATTACAGAGACGCGTGTAAATACATACGTCGCTGAGCCTCCTCTTCCTTTTTCTCGCCTTTCTTTTGTTGGTGCTCTTTTTATTTTTGCGAGCGAGCAGATATCGGCGACCGAAAACCATGATCCCTCGAGTTCGCCGAAAATTAATGGCCTCTCAAACCATGTTGTTTTATTAAAGCCCCCGGAACAAGCTTTTAAGTGGAGTTCTGGGTTCCTCGATTTTATGAAAGTTTCGACCTGGCCGCGATTTTTTGCGAAATTGGATCTGCCAAGGATACGTCTGATATAGATTAATCTTTCGTTAAGTGGACCCTATCACTCGTAATGCGCGATAACTGTGTTTTATTTTTCACTTCTGTTCATTCACAAATAATAATTTCCACTGAATATCCCTCTTTCTATCGTGGAATGTTTCACCGATAACCGTTCACGATCTGCAAAGCGTAATATTTGTATTTCCCATTTTTGAAGAAATATTTATTATATTCTTTCATTAATTTTATAACTCTTTCTCCCTCTTTCTTTCCCACTCCCTCTCCCTCTCTCACTCCTTTACCTCTACCTTTCTCTCTCTCCCTCTTCCTTTACATCTACCTTTTTCTCTCCCTCTCTCTCTCTCTCTCTTTCTCGCACTCCCTTTTTCTGCTATATCATTTACGACTCATAGTTTATCTATTAATTTTAAGCAAAAACAAACAAAATAAAAAAATAAAGAATGTAGTGTATCATATTCGACAAATATAAAGTTAATTATGTCTGAAAACGAACTAAAAGCACAGAAATTGCTCACTCCACAATAACTGGCTCCACCGCCCTGTACAAGTTCTTTTCTTACTAATAGTTCTGTGCTTTGAATAAAGTAATCTTAAGTAAGATTATATAGTACTATAAAACTAGATTATTCGTACATTGATGCAAATTCTTTTCCATCCAGAAACGTAAATATAATTTAAAATTCAAATTACAGTGAAAGATGTTTAAAAATTTACATATCCTAATCTCTTGTACTATGACAACGAGTCAGACTCGCGTGAGAAAGATTTCCGGTAATATCGGTTAATTTCAAATATAAATATTCTACTGTTCAGTCAGCTTAGGCATAAAATGCCTAAAAAAAGAAATTAAATTAAATTTTCTTCTTTCTCCAAAAAATTACTGGAATCGAAAAAGTTCGAAGCATTGCGACTACGAACGAAATGGTAGGCTGAGGGGGTTAACTCTTTCAGCATGTTGTTCAACAGTGTATGTGTTAATTTGCACGGAGCATTCGCGAATAACAGAAACGAATGAGGAAGATCATGGTCGTTACGTCACAGCGCGCACTACGTATCGAAGAGTGTCTCCGGTACGAGGTGCGAACGGAATCTCGCACGAACCGCACTTGCTCGCGGTTTAACGACTAATTAAAGCAGCAGTTTAACGGTCCAGCCGTAAAACTGGCCGCTAAACGCTGCAAAACACTCTAACCACCGTTACCTGTCGTTATATCATCCGTCGATTCGAGACACTTAGCGTGTTGTCGCTGAGCAAACTGTTTGGATAAATCCCGCGCGGTTGACCTAAGCGATTCAGTGGAAGTTAACGGGATGTCGGCCGCGTGTCCGTCGTTCCGCATTCGAGCCATGATCGAACTTATGTATCTACTTTGGGCGGCGGGATCGGCCGAACAGACCAAAGAAACGATCGCCAGGACCAAACGGCAATTCGACGCCAAGTATCTGGTCTTCCCTGAAGGAAGCAACGTTCAAGTGAGTGAAACTTCTGGGCAAGCATCCCTTCGCTTCGCTAATTACCGCATCAAAAATTTGTTTACAACGTTAACCTTTTCGCCGAGGACTCTTTTAGGTCGAAACTTCCTGCCTTTACAGAGTTAGTTTTCGGCTTACTAAAACGATCTACTCCGCGGGGAGAAGTTTTCCTATTTCCAAAATTCATGGGACCGTCGTACGTAATAAACATTTTATTTTGAGAACAGGGTACGGTAAAATTGCCTATCGTTTCTGTAACGTTTTACAGTTGTCTTCTCCGCTCGCGTTGACGTTCAAATCGATTAATAGACTTTAAACAAGCACGCGCATTATACAAGAAAGTTTCCGAAGCATCCTAATTGTGCATTATAAGTGCTCCAAAAATCACAAGCGTATAGTCATTTTCACAGATAGAGGAGAATAGGGTAAAACGAGGCATCACACATCAGCTGCGATTGAGTTGTCATCATGTGACAGCAGACCAAACGGTCCTCGCACTGTGTATTTCGTGATTAACAATAGACCCCCGAGCACGCATTATATTATAAGTTACAGTGCTTGCACACACACAATTTTGCGTCCCGTCCATTTTATTCAACTTTCGTTTTAAAAATTAATGACAATTCCATGCTGCGTTTGCCTTATAATTTTTTGTTGTTACACTCCAAAGTTAAATTAAACCTAAATTATATAATTGTTTGTGAACGCTGAACCGAAATTACAATTTTTTAGCATTCAACCTGAATTATTTCATTATTAGCTATTTATATTAAATTCGATAAGAAAATTAATATTCATAGAAAATAGTGAATGAATATGTAAGTACATGAATATGTAGTTCAATGAATATGTAAAACAAAAAGTGATACATAGGGGTTTGAGTAGATATTTCAATAAAAATGAACGAACTTTAAGAGAAGTATACTTATTTTTAGTGGAGAATAATGATTTTGTTAAAACGTGGGTATCGCATTAGGCAACTTTATCATATTTTTAGGAAACTGTGTGGGACGCATGTGTTGCATTAGTGGTGAAAGGGTTATGAAGACATTCTAACCTAAGACAAGTTGCCTTAAGTTAACTGCGACTTTTTACCGTGACGTAACAAGACGTTTTACAATCACAATTTTGTTTATGTTTTTAATCAAGTCCGTGAATTTTTTGGCAACTAGAAAACCGAGTTAAAATTGTCATTAATGGGGAAACGAAATTTTTAAAAGGTTACCGTTCTGTTTCCTCGATATTAAGACAAAAGATTAATTTGTGACCCTCCGAGTTAATAAATTATAACCAGAGCTGGGTAAGATACTATTTTAAATCATAAATAGTAAATGTTTTATTTTGCATTTTTGAGTATAAAATATTTTATTCATTGGAAACATTGTTTAAAATAATATTTCAAATAGTGTTCTCATTGAAGTACATTAGAAATATTTGTGCTAATAGTAGTCTTTCAAAAAACCAGTTGTGAAGAGAGATAATCTCCAAACACAATACAAAAATTCAATACAAAATTTCTACACTTCAATAAGTGCAGTTTGATCAATATTCTGAAACATCCGAAAAAGTAGATACATCATTATTGACATTAGATATTATTTCAACATTGTAATAGAAGTATGCAATTACTCACGAAAATATACGGTACGCCATGTAAAAATGAATAACTTTTTAAAAATTCAATAACATGGCTTGAATATTTTTTAGATTTTAGAGAGATTGCTTTACAACGCAATGTCCAAAGAAATTTTTGAAAAAGCTGCAATTGGTTCGAAAGACGAAAAAGGATAACTTGGTCATTTCAATCTAGACCGAAAATTTATATAATATATTTTGTAGATCTCGGTAACTTATGTGCATGTTGAAAAATTCGTCGCCATCGTTTCTTATACATTTTCATAACATTTTTATATCTTCTTGTTATACAAACCGATTGCAACTCCCTCAAAAATCTTTTGTATTCATTGTGTAATAAACCAGTCCCTTTTAACCCCTTAATGCACAATTTAAAAAAAAAAACCGACCAAAAAAATCAATTTTTTTTATCTAAGAAAATATACATATTTGGACCTTAATTTCAATAAATATGTAAAAGAAATGCAAAAATTACTAAAAATTCAATAAAAATAGTGGATAAATAATTATAGTGAATATTGAATCGCATTGCAGATCGAATTTTGTACCCATCGTACTGTTTTTCAATTACCAGTTACTATTTTGAAGGGGAAGGAGGAGACGAAAAAAAAACTGAAAAATATTTAATTTTACCTAAATTTGTAATAATATAATAATAATATTTATTAGCTGAAAAATATATAATAAACTAAAACTATTCAAAATTTTCTTTTGTATGGTAAATTTCAAAACAAGGTGCAGCACATAGCCCAACATTCCTTATTTCAACATTAGAAAACATACCTTTTATACACTAAAAATCCAATTTACTCTCTATAAAAATACACCATAAAACAAAAACGTTTTTATATGTTGACACTAATAATATTTGTAAAAAATAAAAAACAATTGTCTTTGAAGAAATTC